TGTTGATCAACGCAAGTATGTACTTGATTTACTCAAAGGAACAGTAATGACAGGTTGCAAGGCAACAGATATGCCAAGAGAACCTAATATAAAATTGAAAACAACATAACTAATGAGGTAATGAACAAAGAACACTATCAAAGATTGGTAGGGCGACTAATTTATTTGGCTCACTCTCGACCTGACATAGCCTGTGCAGTAAGTGTTGTCAGTCAATTCATGCATTCACCTGGACCTACTCACTTCAAAGCTGTATTCCGAATTTTGAGATATCTCAAAAGAACTCCTGGTAAAGGACTTTTGTTCAAAAAGGAATAACATCTTCTAATAGAAGCCTACGCAGATGCAAATTGGGCAAGAGACGTAAATGATAGAAGATCCACATCAGGTTATTGTACCTTTGTAGGCGGAAATCTGGCTACTTAGAAAAGTAAAAAACAAAATGTGGTAGCAAGAAGTAGTGTTGAAGTAGAATTTTGCTCGGTGGCCCATGGACTCTGTGAAGTATTATGGATAAAAAAACTCCTGGAAGAATTGAATATTCATATACCAGCACCTATTAAAGTTTACTGCGACAACAAGGCTGCAATCTCTATTGCTCATAATCCAGTTCTACATGACATAACAAAACATGTAGAAGTTGACAAACATTTTATCAAGTAGAAGATAGATAGTGGTGTGATATGTATGTCCTACACACCCACTGCTAGCCAAACAACTGATATTCTAACAAAAGACCTTTCTAAAGTGCAACACGAGAATCTAGTTAGCAAGCTTGCCATGAGTGACATCTTCATGCCAGCTTGAGGTGGAATGTTGAAAGATCTCACAAATAATGATGATGATATTCCATATTTATTATAACTCTATATTTAGAGAGTTATAAATTATATGAGGGATCTTAGAAATCTATATTTATTTTGTCTCCTTAATTAGAGAGATTAGCTGCCTATTATATTTGTTATTATTTGTTTCCTTACTGTATTCTGTTTTTATTACTTTCCTTACCAATAAATCCTGTAATGAGTATTTATACCCCTCTTTGTTTCAATAAGAAGAAGTCCTCTGAAATCTTTTTCATGCTTAATATGTCTGGCATAAGGTATGATCCGTCTAAGGCGACAATATATCCGAATGACCGAGACATGGGTAATGTAAGACGTCGGTCGGACGATAGCATATTAAATGAATCATGAGCTCTTCCCACCATACTCTTCCAACCGATTGTCCCTTTGTCCTACCAACCAACTCAACACCACAATTGCTTCAATGTTAATGGTTCAAAAGAGAAGAATGTGACAGAAAGATCTTCTGTAATTAGTTTGTGAGGCTCACTAAGACAAATCGGTCATGCAGGATGAGTTAAGCCTGCCAGGCCAGACAAGTCAAACCGAATGAGCCAAGTTCAATATGCAGGACCGATCAAGCCGGACGAGCCAAGTCAATTAGGTCAAAGCCGACCATGACCAATAGGTTTACAAAAAAATAATTGATAAATCCAGAAAAAAAAGGCCATTCACACAAAAATGAGCCATAAGTGCTTCTCGCCAGCCAAAGGGAAGCCGAATCGATGCGGCAACCTATCTCGTAAGAGAACTGATCCAATGGAAAAGCTGGCTCCATAAATCACCTTCGACCCTCCAACGAAAGCCCATAAACTCCTTGCCGAGGAATGAAGATAGGCAACCATGTTAGGTCAGCCGACTGAATCATACCGACCGAGCTTGGACGATCAAGCCAACTCAGTTGAGCCAAATTAACTAAGCTTAGCCGATCGAGTCAGGATGTGACTTGACGATAGAACGTCACTTGTAAAATACTAGAAATACTCCAGTACAGATCCTCTCTAAATGGGGGTAACAATGTAATATCACTATTGTACTAGATTCTTTATAAATAGATTAATCATCTAACGAAGAGGACACACTATTTGGTCACTATTCATCTCTCACTCTCCCTGTTCTCTTTGGGTGTGACTCACGGAAAATTTTGGATTCAACACTTCTATAATAGTAAACGGTGTGCCACAACTTGTGTACCTGAATCTTTTTAATATTCTAGGCTAAAAATAAAACTTATATTCGTGCATCTTATTTCAAAATACCTATAGTTGGGATTGATTCTGACTTGCCTTCACCCACTATCTGGTCCAGTGAACAATGCAAGCAGCAAAATCAATGATTTGGCTGCAAAAATCATTGTCATTATTATCATTAGCCTTATCATAGCGTTTTTGTGGTCTACACTAGATTTTTTAGCCTTCCGTGATTTATATCAAGTGCTACATGAGATGTAAACATTTTTTATACAAACTTTTTAACAGAGTTACTAGCGAGGTTAAGTTTGAAGAAACGCTTTTTTTTCTAATCTTTTCACTTCTATTGTTCATCTAATTAATGAATCTCTTACCCTTTATTGTACGTATCCAAAGCATATATATTTTTTATTTTCACATTCTTTTCTTCGATAAATACTTCTCCTAAGTTGCCTTTTCTTTAATATAATCATTTCTTGGTAAAAACTTGCATTATATTTATTGCGCATTGATACTTAGCTATGCAATGCCTATTGATAAATAGGCTGATTTCCAGTCTGTCATTGGCATATGACTTATCATCACAAAAGCATCCAAAACTAATCAAATGATTAGGATGTCGGCTCGGCATTAACCGCTAACTCACGCTTCACTTTAAACAGTTGGCAGATTTACATATGCATCTCTTAATTCCTATGTATTTACCTATTTAACATTTAAATTTCAATTTTTACCCACCTTACCTATGCATGAAAAGATGCATTTACTTTTATAAGTTAAAAACAATGTTATTTTTATGTGATATGAAAGATTTGGGTGATATAATGTTAAAAGTAGAGTTTAAGTGTTAGATCTGTAAAAACATAGGAATTTGTTGGTATATAGGTAAATGCCCATTGATAGTTTATACTTAAAACTTTTCACCATATTCATTGAATTTTTAGTTAAAATGAGAGGGTTAGTTCACATTCTTAGATTTTCTGATGCGAAAAAAGCTGGTCTTTTTTTGTTGGTCCTCAGCTGAAGACTTTACTTCTTCCTGTTGAAGTACTTTTTCCATTCATTTGAGTTGACATGTGACTTCTATTCTGTCCTTTTGTTTCTGTAGGACTTCCTTCATAATGGTAACACATGAAAAAAAGGAGGGAAATTTATGTAAATACCACATGATTCTTATGTATTTACATATCAAACACTCGGTTTGATATTTGCACTTGGTATCATAAACCAATACATGAACATGTGTATTTAATTTTTAAAAAGGTACTGGTGGTGATATTTTTGGGGAGAAGTTTTGAGTGGTATGCTTGTAAATATGAATGCTTAGGTGTTTGATAGGTAAGTACATGAGAATTCTGTGGTATTTATGTAAATTCCCCCAAAAGAAAAGTCCCATTCATAGACTGGAACAAAGTTAGGTGAGCTATCTAATTACAACCTATTCTAGGGTCAAAACTTATAAGCCAGTACACAAATTCCGCTGTGGATAATGATAACTATAAAGTATTATATATATATATATACTTGATAAATTATCCAGTTAGTCATCTTCTTTGTTCTGGTTGCAGACTTGCTGTAACACTTATGAGAGTAATTTTTTGTGGCCATTGCTGTCTTACAAGGAAAAGGGTGGATGTGGCTTAGCTGCAATGGCTTGTTTATTGCATTTTTATAATAAAATTCCTGTTTTAAGGTTATTTTTTGTTTGTCCTTAAATGATTTATTGAACTGTATCACAGTTGACCTGTAGTGGTGTGGGCTCCCTGTGGGATTGTATTATAATTGGTATGATAGAGAGAGAGCTGGCCTATTTCCACATGTCTTGTCTCCATTTTTTGTCTGCACATATACGTGGCCAACCTTCTAAAGAAGAAATCAGGCAGTTTCTGAAATTATATAACTAGCATGGTTTGTTGTTTTCTATAGTTTTTATGTGTGCTCGCCCTGCTGTATCTGCTTTAAATTCAATCGAGTTTTAAAGCCATTAGATTTTCTTTGAGATGGGTGTAATGCACAGATGATCAATTAAAATTAATAACTTATTTCGCTTATCTCAAAACAAACTTAATGACATTGAGAGCCACCTGACTAAAATTTGGTTTTAAATCCTTTGGATTTACTTCGACATGGGTGTAATATATATGTAATCAAGAAAAAAATTGTATTACAAGCCTATGTTAATTTCATCTCGAAGACAATTCAATGGTTTTTAGACCCACCTTGGAGTGTGATTTATTTATGCAATCAATCAAAATTTATCTCAATCCAAATGTAATGCCTTCGAAATCTATTGATCAAAATTTGGTCATAATACGTCTAGAAGCCATTGTATAGAGATGAGTATATTACAGTAATAAATCGAAATTATATTGCACGCATCTAAAAGTAAATTCAATAGCTTGGATGCATCCTGGCTCGATATTTTTTATGTTTATGTTTTATTCTCAATTAGTATCTCTAGATGGCAACACCGAGACCCAATATTGATCAGATGTGAAGGAATTTTGTGAGCCACTCATCTGATACTCTCTCTTTCTTGTCCGCATTAGCAGAAGTTTCATATGTTACAGCACCTATGGTCGTTTGGTTCCATGAAAAACCTCTTGAAGGAGCTTTCCTTTAAATACGGAACAGGCATTACCATCTGCAATCTAAATAGGCAGAAAATTGCTGTTCAATTAAAACAACTTTGAGAGATGCAGCTTTATCAAACGAACACAAATTCACGTCGGCGTTCACTATAAATGAATAGAACTTCACTGCATTCTCAAACGAGGCCTTTAGATTTTCACAACCGAACATTCTAACTAATTTTATGAAGCAATAATATTGTAGTCATCTTTACCTCTGATAAGGGGACCGCATGATTTCTTAGTCATCATGTATTTTGGCAACACATGACACAATTATGGTAATTTCATTTGTCTTCTTTATGCTTGCACGATATGCTTTATTTTTGCTTTTTTAAAATTTCATTAACATTTCATGCACAAACGATCATTTATCTTCAAGAGGTATTACACGACATAAAATATAGCAGGCTTAATGCTTGACTTTTAATCCTGCCCATTTTTAAAAATTAGAAACAACAAAGAAGCCAACTTAGCATCACATTTCAAGTGGAAGCATCCTAATGTAACCTCATATATCATTGACTGAATTCTTGAGGCTGTTCTCCTTTATATAGAATAGTCTGCTGAAACATTTCTGAACTTTCTTATGGAATTCCTCCTTTATTACTTCGGCTGCATTTTTTTACAAACCAAATACTTATTCAGGATATTAGTTAAAAAATTTCAAAGTCATAGAAAGGTTCTAGAGATATATACCTGAGAGCTTCTGTGAGCAGCCTCATTAGATTGACTTGAGCCTTCAATGAGATGACATAGTCTATGGTCTCTTCCAGCAGTGAGAGCTCATCCAAAGTCTCGCCTCCTGGCACCACCCGTTTCAGAATTCTTGTTCTTTGTTTTACCAGAGATTCTGCTATCACTCTTGCTGTTGCACCATTTGATGCATGCGCTCCTCTTCTTAAGATTGAATTAGTCCTTCTAAATCTCCTCTTCAACTTCATCCTCTTCTCCTTAAATTTCACTGGGAAGCATGGCTTGGTTATGCTCTCATACCTTCTCCTTCCCAGCAGACTCATCAGAAGAACTTTGTTCTGCCCATGCTTTGCATGGCTAGTGATCAATGCACGGCTCCAATTCATCCCCTTGCCTGCAACCGCCATGGCTATATTCGCCGAGAGCTTGATGACTTTCTTCCTCTCTTGGTAGCTCATCGTCTTCATTGAAACTCCAATTTTCAGACCCATGAACATAGTCTTAAGAAAGACTTGATGGAATGATAGGTCTGCAGCCTGCATTGCATGAGAAGAGTAATTTGCAGACACTTTGCTTTGTTCATGCAAAGCTAGAGTTGCTAATGAGAGTTGGATGGAGTTTCCAATCTGCTCAAGAGAAGTATGTGAGAACTTCACACTTCTAAGATATGGAGAGGGAGAAAAGATGAATGAACTTAAGATGAAAGTAGAGCTTAGTATCTATATATTTTGGTGTAGGGAGGGAGCGTCCACATGCAAGCACATGGTGTTATAGGCCCACCTTTTCTGGCTAATACGAAGTTTAATGTTGAAACTGCATGTAGTTTTCCTAATGTTTAGGCCATAGATTGCATGGAACTTTATATTAATGCTTGAGGGAAAGAAAATGGGATAATGCAAGGTTAAAGGTACAGTAAAGTATGTATTGGACAGTGTGCCTTAACCCATCCTTCACTGACTCGGTGACTTGAACTCACATGGTGGTCACATGGAATACTTAACCTGCACTTCTTTCAGAATTGTAGGAGATTTCAACTATTTTATCTCTTCTATCTTTTCCTTTATTAATTCATTATTCCTGTCATCTTCAATAATTGAGTCTTCAGTCCAGTTTTCCATGGCATGGAGGAGAGGAAATTTTATTCATTTGACTGCGTTTAATTAAGATTATAAGTCAACTCAAAGTAAATTAGTGAGAATATTTTGCAGTAAGTTTATAAAATTATGGAGAAGTAAGGCACCTGCAGCAGTTATAAGCATGCATTATTATTCTGACAGAGGTGTAAACCTTGGAAAACTAGATTGGGACTTGTAATTGTCTTATAACTTGATATCTCTCTCTTTCCTTTGATAGCTGTTTGCTTCACTTTAGTTTGTGTCTATCCTAAAAAAGATAATAGTAAATAAATAAAGCTTGTGCCTATCCTGATAAAAAATGTTACATGTTAGATGCTCAGAGGTGGCTCAGAGGGGGATTTTGATTGGTGCGAGCTCGTGTTCTGGCTGCCTGCCCCAGAAGGCAATCGAGAGCTAGTTGAGGCATAATATATATATATATATTATATATATATATATATATATTTATTGTTGAATCATGATTTGTTCTCCCATAGAATAGCGCGCAGGTCAGGAAAGAGAAAATGAGAGAGAGAAGAGCAAATAACAATAGTAAAACGTTGTATCAATCATGTTAGTTCTTTTGATTCTTATTTATTCATAAAATGATATCTCTTTTTATAGAAGATATAATATAATGTAGTGATATTACATTCTTGCCCCTACTTTAGGGTTGCACAGGGTATTCTTAATATTTTATATATATGAGTCTATTAGTCGGTTTCATTGTCTCGTTCAGTTGAGTTTGATTAACTTCGGGTTAGTAGGATTGGCTTGGTCGATTGATCTTATTTGGCTGTCAACCGTTGATAATGGATGGTGAAGCTTATAGACACCCCTAATATGTTTAGAGATGCCGAGAAATTAGGTATTATCTTAAATCGGCTTTTCAGTGGTGGTTGTCTTAGATGCATAGTTATCCCTTTTCTGATCAAATAGTTCATGAATCATTTGGCCTTCTTTTTGGTTTCATGGCTCAACCTAGTTTGGCCTTAATCGCTTTGGCTTGTACGGTTGCACTCAATCGGATAAGTGGACCTCATCATTTTTTGTCGGTGGGCCCTTCTTCGTCATACTATTCTTCTCTAGACTATCAGTTCTCCTCAGGATCAACACTGCCATATTTTTTTATGTATATATTTTAATTTTCCAACTCTCTTACTTATTAAAAGGGACACCGCGATAAAAATAAAAGTATTTAATGCAAAAAATATATAACATTTATTTTTAATCAACGATTCAATAATTAAACTCATTTGATTTTTGCGCTTTTGATCTTTATAAATAAAATTTGATGGGATTCTTTGCTTTCTATATTTGTCTGCATCCCTTCGTCTGAATCAACCGACTTCCAAGAGTTGTCATGGAGAACATGCCAAATATCTCTGTTTGTACCTCCAACATAGACTTGCTTTGTATCGCCTTCAGGAACCCAAAGGATTGGTACCACCGGGAAGGTAAAAAGAAGAAGAAAATCATAGCTAAGAGAAGAGAAAAAATGATCACGTTGGTAGATCAGATAGGGTCGTTTGATTCGTTTCTTGGCTGAAGGCGGAAAAACGCTCAAGTGATCGACCCAACGACTCAACCTTATGTTGCAGCGCAGGACCCATCTGTCAAATCGACCGCATAAGAAGCTTTTGGTACTCTGAAGTTGCTGGCATTCTACCACGACCCGTGGTGCGAGAAGCTACTGGTGCTTCGCCGCCCATTGGGCGTGCTGTGTCGGTTGCATCATCTGAGTGGGATTGTCTCCTTGGCAAGAGGAGTCTAGATCTTGTTTATTAGATTTTAACTTTTTTTTGGGTCTCCTTTTTATATTGTTTTTTATGCAATTGGCCTGATAGTCCTAGTTATGACTCGCCTTATGAAAACTTTCGGGGGAATCGACTGTGGCATCAACAACGATTGTCCAACCTCGAGTAATTGACTCTCAAGTGAGCATGGTGGGTGATCGCCCAAGCAATCCTTGTAAAACTTGTTAGGAAGCAACTAATGGACACCAGACATACCCCGGGTCGCTGGCTCACTACATGGATAGATTGATAACTCCTTCGCTTGGTCGGCCATAATCCACCGAGGCGAGGAGATATGCGAGCTACTTGTTTGTGTAGAGAAAGTGAAGAGGATATAGGAAGAGATGGTCATTCCTAGCCAGGAGCTATAAGACTTATGAGAGAGATCCTTTGTACTCTAAGCCTAAGTCGAGACAAATCGGGTGAGTTAGTTCAAGTTTGGGAGAAAAGTTTTATATAAAAGGCTGTTTCACTTGGGATATGTCTTGGTTGAAGCAGAGGCTGATCCCATTGTAAAGTATTTCCTTTTGAGCTAACTCCCGAGTGCTTATTTTGATTTATAATATTTTATTTTGGATTAAAATTTAACTTTTACTTCTTGATTTCTGTGTTGAAGTGATCTCTTTATAAGCACGTTTTCTAAGGGTCTGTTTGGGGCAGCTGTAGCTTATTATCCATATCAGTAGCTTATCCCGATAATCTGCTGATTAGTAGCTTATCCTGATAAGCTGGCTAGCTGTTTGGTTTGTGTGTTTCGAAAACAGTTGATTCTGTACAAATGATCATTCTGCCCTTGTTCTAAGCACAATAAAAAATTCTTACTATTTTTTTTATCCTCACCAACACACAAAAATAAATGAATATATCCCTTCACTCAAACCCCAAGGAAATAGAATTCGACAACAAAAAAAACAAAATTCATCAATGAATGAGAATTTGATTCTGCTAAACAACCAAAATTTGATTCTACTATGCAGTAACAACAATCAATCGAAGCCCCAGATTCTCTAACTCCTCTAATTTCGTAGATGCAGAATGTGTTTTCCATACAAATAATGGATAATAAAACAGTGAAATAACCGATCGATGAACTAATAAAAATCATCAGAACCTATTCCAATGAGATGAAGAATCACAAGAGTTTCACTTTCAGTCTTTAATCAAGAAATCATGAAGAATAGAAAGAGCTTCGTACCTGAAATAAGCGCAAAGAAGAGGCGATATCCGATTAGGAAGAAGCCCGCCATTTTCTCACTTGCTTTCCGATCCCCTTCTCTGATTTCCCCTCCTACGAACCTCAAGCGAGACTCTCAATTTTTCGGCTCCGGGTTCTCTTCCTTCGGCCTGGGGAAATCGCTGCCTGTGCTCCTCCCGTTCTCCGAGCGTGTGAGAGGAGGAGAGGAGATGGAGAGGGGGGACTGATCCGTCCGGGAGGAAGGCGAACGAGGGAGAGGATGAGGAGAGGAGATGGAGAGGGGGGAGCGATCCATCTGGGAGGAAGGCGAATCCGGGGGGAAGGTGAACGAGGGAGAGGAGGAGGAGAGGAGATGGCGAGGGGGGAGTGGTCCGTCCGGGAGGAAGGTGAACGGGGCTTTTAATGTAAATCGCTCAAACGAAACGTTGATCGCGGGGTCCTACCCGCGATCTGCGTTTAATAGAAAGAAGCGAACGAGGTTTTTGAAAACTCCTCCCAAACGCCATATTCAAACAGCAGGTGGCGTTTTCAAAATGTCACCGCTGTAAATAAGAGCCCCAAAATGCTCCCTAAATTATAGTACAAATTTGTTTTTACCTCTGTGATGATTACACTTCTTTTTTTATGTGTGCGCGTGTGTGTTATATATATATAAGAAATGACCGAAGGCTATTAGACGAGATCCGACCATCCATCTCATCCATCCCTAGGTGTGCTAAATGTTTGAGTACCACACCCTACACATAGGGGATTTGAACCCGTGATCTGAGAGGACTTACGACATTCATAGAGGCTGCTCTACTGACAGACCACGAAATGCGCTCGCGCTCACACACACACACACACACAGATATATATATATATATATATTTTTTCTCATATATATATATATATATATAAGGATGATGGTTTTGATGACACTATGCTTTTACTCTATCTTTCCTCACTTTTCTTCGCCCCCTCGGTTTTGTGTTTTTATGCTCTGCTTAATGGATGCAACATAGTCTTGAAAAGCCTTCAGATCAGTCGTCTTCACCGACTAATCAACAATCACTCAAGAGGAAGTGGTCTGGTTGTAGGAGATCCATGTCTTTGACCCTACAATGAAGCTTAGGGTTGCTGGTGAGAACGATAGAGTGACGAATCCGTTTGGAACAAACTTTATTTTCTACAATGATCAGTTTTAATACTTTTGGAGGTTCACTTTCTACCAATCATTATGGAGTTATTCTGGCCTAGATACTACCAAACTCCATTTTCTCATCATAACATTTGTCATTTTCTTCTATCGGTCGGGAATCCCCTAGTCGATGAAGTTTTTCACATATTTGTTTTCATTTTGGGCCAGTATGGACAACTACATTCAATTTGCCTTCCCCGATAAGGTCCAGAGCTGCTAGGGTTGGAGAATAAAGTGATGACTGGAAACTTTGATTTTGCCTTGATTATTCTCCCCGAGTTTGGTATGTCCAAGCTATTTCGTTAGGAGTTGTCCAACAAGTCAAAGAAGGTGTCAAATCGGGTACTGTTGGAAGCAAGGGAGGTCAAAGGCTGTCAACTTTTAGTCTATCA